TGTGACCAAGCGTCTCTTGATAGACCTGCTTCCAGACGTTTGTTTCATTTCTAGGTCTTTTAAAGACTTTATAAAGGAGCGAAAAATACAAACACATAAGCAATAGAGGCTGCAGGGATGACTGATGGACCGATGTCCATTAAGCTGATGCAGCTGCAGTTTTCACTCCAAACACGACAGCTGAGAACAGAATAACGAGCATTCAGCTGAAATATTCAGTACACCTCGGAAGAGCCCTGCTGCTGCCTCTCACATACATCAATACCTTTCCAGTCCGCGTCAGGGAGGAGATAAACATGTCTCGGCCGAGTTTCATGTCCACGTAGGAGAAGAAAAAAAACCACAGAGCATCCAAAGAGTCAGACAGTCGGAAGCTCTCCGAAGTCTCCGAAGAGGAGAAACGAGAGAGGAGTTAGAGCACATTTGTTGATGTGTTTACAGGGCTCTGATGTTGTCTGGTTTTCCACACACCCTAATACTGTAATTACACAAAGATCAGCTCGTTAATTGACCCATTCGTCTTCTACAGCTGTTGCCCATCGGTGCATAAAATAACCATCTTTAAATATTGATCATGGCTTAATAAGCTGTTGTATATCAGTTTCTCACATCTGAGTATCGGCAGCCTTCCACTGTGTCCCCAGAGGAATTTATATCACTGTCTATTACTGTGTCCTGGCTGTTTATTTCTTGTGAGCAGGCAGAAGGGAGTCTAAACCAATCTTCACACAGGATACGAGAGAACTGGTGCGAGTTCAGTGAGGGTCTGCTGCACCCCACAATACCCAGACTGAGCAAGTGAAGCGTTTGCAGCGTTTGAAAAACAAAGCAAACAAGAAAATCCCATGACAGAAACAGCCTTGTTGAAAGTGTGTTTTCAGGCTTCACAGAAAGGCATTCAACAGGGCCCGGTCCCTGGTTCTTTTAGGGGATGGTGCTGAACTCTGGGGCACTGAGGCCTAGAGGCTGCTGCAGTTCGCCCTGCTGAAACAGGGCTGCTACTCGGACCACGCCTGGGGGAGGGGGGGGGTTCACCGACTGATTGGGCGACGACGTTTCTCATCCCCGCCTCGTTCCAAGTCTCCAAAAATCTGATTTCCTCCAGAATGAGTCATAACCTTTTCTGAATGCATGCACGGGAATTAGCATACCTTAATTAGCAAAAAAAAATCTGCTACTTCACAACGCATAAACAAATTTCCAGGTGATTAAGTCTTTGATGATGATATTGAACAGCAGAGCCATAATTACAAGTGACATTTCCGCCGCAGCCCGATGGGGAGCTAATCACAGTCTCCGAGCGCTGCAGGAGCCCCACAGGGAGCCTTTATCCATTTTTCATGACAGCGCTGCAGTGACCGAGCAACTCTGCCACACAACAGCAGAGAAGATCTGCTCAGTGCTTTCATTCGAGTTTGTGAATGCTCAGCGAAGTGGCTCTAATGCAGATGGGATATGTATCCATTGCTACCCCCTAGCACTATTTCTAATGTGCAAAGAGGAAAAGTAACAGCAAGTTTTACAGCTCAGACGAAAACCCCGAGTACAGTTCAGCTTCTAGTCACATCACAGTTATCAGAGCCCTGTCTTGTACCTGTGGCTGAGGAGATTGGATTCTTTTTGGCTTGGGATGAGTACATTCTGGCAAAAAGACTATCGAGGTCTTCAAAAACCACAAGGGTGTAGAAAAACAGCACAGCCTTGAACCCTGCAAGGAAGAACAGGTATCTGAACATGATATGACTGGTACTTCATGGAGCAAACCGACCCATTTCCCGTCTCAAAGACCAGACTCGGGCCCAAAGTCTCTCCTCATCCACAGCTTCACACGAGCCCGACTGCCACCCTTCCTCAGCACAGCTCAAACACCTCCGATTTAACCAGAGCCTGCCCCCGTCAGAGGCTCTGCAGGTGCAAGAACAGAATTTCACACAGGTAACCGCACAGCCCTTGCAGCTCAGGAGGTGCCAAGTCCATGC